AAGAGACATACTGGGCAGGCCTACAATTAAAATGTTTTCTCAGATGAATACAAAGCAGAGAGTATGGAAACCCTATGAGAAGAAGCATGGCTGTAATGAGCATCTTGTCTGGCTCAAGCTAGTCTGCTTAACCTCCTTCTAAAACATTTTACATAGTGACCTCCCTCCTGTCACCCTCTCTCTTTCTGCCTCCCCCTCTCCTGTGTGCTCCTTCCCAGTATGATTTGTGCCTGTGGGCATTTTCTTCAACAGAGCTCTTTTCTGATACAACCTTTACTGAGAAAAGTGTGCGCAATTAGTTTGCAGTCTTGCTTTACCTGTGAACAAACACAACTGAGCTATGTTTCCTCAGAGAGAGCAGGGGAAATGCAAGCTGATCTCTCATCACAACAGACGATGAAGAGAAAAATGCTTGGACTACCCAAGAAGGACCTTTTCTACTGACATTTAAGCACTGATGGGACAAATTTTCAGCAAGCCTCCTTCACTGTACCTAAATACCTATCAAGCAGCTAACCATAAAAAAAACAAATGCATGTGCAGACTCTGCAGGTACAGCTAAGGTTTGATACATTTAGACTGCAGAAAAGCGTAATTAGCAGAGTTCTCTCTGCTCTTTGTGTAGAAGGGTATAGATACAGAATTTGACTCCAGATTTAATTTACTTAGTGTTGACACTGCAGCACAATACTGTGAGTGCTGCTTTTTGATATGGTCAATCTTTTTAAGGGACTTTGAGACATTGGATCAAGCTCTTTAGTGATTACCCAGGTAGATGCTGGAGTCTGATGTTCCTTGAACTTTACTATGGCACTCCAATGCCCTGGTAATCATCCTTTCATTTTAATTAGCTTCTAATTTTGAAAGCCCCAAGAGCTACTGCTGCTCATACTTCTGGATAGACACCTCTATCAGTGTCTTCACCTGAGAATATGCTCTGGGATATCTTAAGACTGTATAAATCATTTTTTCTTATTTATGTGGCTTTTTATATTAAATCAAGGACATGGAAAGGGCTTCTGGACATGTGCTTTTTATAATTTATAAAAACCATGACAAATATTTCATCAAGAGCATTTGGATATGTTTCGTAGTGGGTGTTTTCCTAGAAGCAGCCTCCTGGCTGAAGTAACTCTAAACTTGCTGAAACAAAAGACAGGACTATGCAGTACTTTAAAGACTAACAAGATGGTTTAGTAGGTGATGAGCTTTTGTGGGCCAGACCCACTTCCTCAGATCAAATTGTGGAAGAAAATTGGCATGACCGTATATACCAAAGAGATACAATGAAAAAAAGTGAACACACACAAAATTGACAAATCAGATTTTAGAATGTGGGGAGGGAGGGAGGGAGATTAGTGTCTATGAGATAATGATATTAGGGGTGATAATTGGGAAAGCTATCTGACTTGCCAATTTTATGTGTTCACTTTTTTTCATTGTATCTCTTTGGTATATACGGTCATGCCAATTTTCTTCCACAATTTGATCTGAGGAAGTGGGTCTGGCCCAGGAAAGCTCATCACCTAATAAACCATCTTGTTAGTCTTTAAAGTACTGCATAGTCCTGTCCTTTGTTTCAGCAAGACCAGACTAACACGGCTACATCTCTATTATTATTCTAAACTTGATGGAAGGATTGGGGAGGAAAGGAGGTGACCGCTTTTAAATCTGTGTTTGCAGATAACTATATTTGTCAACATTAAATTAATGTATGGGCCTCAGCTTGACCAGTTTATTTGAAATGTAGTATCAACATTTGTGTGGTTACTCAAGAGTGATGTTTGGTATTTTTGGTTCAACTGTCTGGCAACCCTATTAGCAGCATAAAACTGCTATTTGTATGCAGAGGTAAGCATTTTAAGATGGTGCATAGCCGTTTGTGTGGAGAAAGTTTTGAAACTTACAGACTCAGTAAAAGTAAATTGCTCTGTATTTAAATAGTATTATTTTGGATGGGAATGAGGGAGGAACAAATCATGTACTCACT